TAGTGGACTTTCAGAAGGCCTACAACACCGTGTCACGGCTCTTCCACTTCAGAACGCTGGAGAAGCTCGGTGTGCCGGCAAACATTGTCAGGTGGACAAAAGGCCTGCACAAGGGGGCCGAGACGAGAATGACAATAAACGGCTGGATAGGAAAATGTGTGGAGATGCAGAGGGGAGTGAGGCAAGGATGCCCCCTCGCGCCTTACCTCTTTCTGTGTGCCTTAGAACCAATCTGCGCCGAGATCAAGACATGCGACCTGGGGGTCAAAGTGGACGGAGGAGATGCGGTGTCGTACATGGGGTATGCGGATAATAATTCGCTGATCCTCCGAGGGGAAGCCCAAATGCACTCAGCCGCGGCGGCTCTCGATTGGTTCGGGGAAATATCAGGCCTGCGCATCAACAGAGACAAGTTGATTATCATGCCTTTGGGAAGGAACAAGGGCAGTATTTTTTTACCGGAGGTCTCTTTCAAATGGGCGGTGGCAAGGGTCCCTGAGCGTCTGCTGGGCATTTGGGTGACACCACACAGTGATGCAGCACCTTCCTGGGAGAAAGCATAGGAGAGGGGGAGGAAGGAACTGGCCAAGTGGGAAAGCCAACATCTGCTGACGGCGGCTAGGGTTACAGTTATTAACAACTACATCATGCCGATACTACTATTCCAGACGCAGATCTACCCGCCACCAGAAGAGTTATGGGCAAAAATCCGCAAGACCCGCGACAATCAAATTTCGAAATGGAAGGCATCGGCAGGAAAAAAAAAAATCGTTCTCTGGAGTGGGGAGCTAGTACGGCTGCTAAAGAAAGAGGGAGGGCTGGGTTTGACCGATCCAACGGACCGGCTGGACAGCCTGACGATCTGGCAGGTCGGGAAGTTTTTTACGGAGCAGGACACCACTAAGCGGTGGCAGTCGGAGAAGGTGGCAGCTCGGCCACAAGGAGTTGCAACCTTTTTCACCCACGAGTCGGCCGGCAGACACTAGAAAAAAGGCAGCCAGAGATGGAAAGCAATAGGGTTGGGTGGTCACCTCGCCAGACACTTAAAAACTCTCCTCGAGGTCACCTCCAAGGGTCCTTGGGTGCCTGGTACAAGACCAGCCCCTATACTTGGGTCCGAGTTTGTAGAGAGGGGGATCAAGAATGGCTAAGCCAAAATAGCAAGAGCACCTAGAACGTCGTGCAGCATATCTTGTTGACCGTCGATCGGATTAAACTGAGGCTTCGCTATATCGAAGCTCCTCTAAGAGCTTTTAAAAGAGCCAAGTTGCCTTGCAAAAAGCTCTGCCATTACAGAGTTATAGCTCGGACAGCGTTCGCCTAGCGTCGTAGTGCCAGCGTACTAGCGTTGATTCGGATAGCATTCCGCCGTCGTACCAAGTAGAACCAAAATTCCAGCAAGGAAGGAATTCGTTCGAATCAATTTCACTATATCCAGATACAAACAAAAAGGAATAAATAGTTCTAGCTAGCAAGGACCTTGGGAATCAACCTGGGAACAACCAGGGATCATCTTAAATAATTCCAAGCAACAGAACCAACCTGGCTGGACAAAACAGCAGGTGGTAGGTTGGTAAATAACCTCTGGTTCTGTTTTTCCAATCTGGAAAAACAACAACCTGGCTCAGGTCTTAAAAGCAGAACCTGTTTTGTCTTTGCCCAACCAGCCAAATGATGGTTCCGCTGGTTTCCCCTGACCCTGTAGCATGCAGATACAGAAAAACAACATCCAACCTTCACCTAAATTATATCCCTATAGTGCCTGCCCTGCTACTCTATAGTCAACCAAACAAAACGGTACAATTTCAAGTTGGATAGAACTGAATCTGCATTATCAAATCAACCGAACTGCAAAGCTTCCATCTAGGGATCCTTTGCGAGCTCGTCCTTTCTGCTTATACTGTTCATAGCACGTATAATATTGATTCAAGCGAAAACCTCACTTCCTGGAATTTCGTTTCTACGCGGTGCGACGGCGGAATGCTACCCGAGTCAACGCTAGTACGCTAGCACTCCAACACTAGGCAAACGCAGTTCGAGCCATAACTTTGCAATGGCAAAACTTTTCGCGAGGCAACTTGGTTCATTTTAAAGCTCTTGGAGCGAGCTTCGATATAGGAAATTTTCAGCTTAATCTGGTCAACGGTCTGCACGATACGCTGCGCGACGTTCAAGGTACTCTTGCTGTTTTTACTAAGTCACTCTCGATCCTCTCTCTACAAACTCGGACCCGAGGATAGGGGCTGGTCTTGTACCAGGCACCCAAGGACCCTTGGAGGTGACCCCGAGGAGAGGTTTTAAGTTTGATTAAGTCTTAGTAACTTGAGTTTATTAGGCCCTTACACCAACAAGCTGGTATCAGGGCTGCGTTATAGTGATCCTCGTTGTAGGTGGCTATGGAGGGCAACACCTCGACGGGAGCTGGTGAATCTTCAGCCCAAGATCGTAGCGGCAGCCATGATTCTGGTGTTTCAGAGCCAAGGGGAGCGCGAACAAACCAGGGCTCGCTGGTCAAGGAGGTGCTGAAGAACTTTATCGTCAAGAAGTTCAATGGTGAAGGCTATGATGATTGGGCCTGGAAAATGCAATTGTATTTCCGTCAGATCGGTTTGCTGAAAGTAATTATTGGGGAGGAGCCTAGACCTAGTGACCCCACGCTGCAGGAAGATTGGGACGAGCGCTCCTCGGCTGGCTACTATTTGATGTCACTCAGTTTAGAGCTGAACCAGCGTCACCACGTCATGCACCTGCTGAGTTGGATAGAACTGAATCTGCACAATCAATTCAAACGAACCGTAAAGCTTCCATCTTGGGTTCCTTTGCAAGCTCGTCCTTTGTGCTTGTACTGTTCATAGCGTGTACAATGTTGTGCCGAAGCGCACAATGCGCGAGTACCTGATAATGCTTCAAGCGAAAATTGCGAAAGCAAACAAACACACGAACATTCTATTCACACCCAAATGCACGCACACGCATACTCGTACAAACAGACTGCAGGATGTCGTGCATTGTGAACTTGCACCCTACACACTCTCCCTCGCCCTGCCAGCTGCATCTCCATCATTCCAATCTCCTCTAAAAGCCTCTTCAGCAAAACCACCTCCTTCATTCTATGGAACATCGCCATGTACTCTGATTCCACGGAAGAGAGTGCCGTCTCCGTCTGCTTCTTTGCCCTCCAACTAACAGGTCCTCCCGCAACTACACAGATGTATCCTCCCACAGATGAGGAATCCTCTGTCTCAGACGCCCACGTATCATCGGTAAAGCAAGTGAGAAACAGCTTGCCTTCTCCAAGCCGCTCCCCCTTCTGTTTCAGCACCTCAACCCCTTTCTGCTTCACCTGTGCAGATGCGGAGTATTGAACTCCAATGCTTGGGTGAGAGTTCTGATACTTCACCACACGCTCAGCTGCATCCACCTGCTCCTCTGATGGATCCTGCACCACCCTAGCCAGCTACCCAACCGAGAAAGAGATGTTGGGCCTTGTGTGAACTGCTGCATACAAGAGGCTGCCCACCAAGGACTAAAATTGCTGCTGCTCCTCGGCTTCAACCCCTTCATCCTTTACAGCTTTCACAAGCTTGAATTTTGCTGGCAAGTGAGTTGCAATTTTGCGCTCATTCTCAATCCCAGACTTCTCCCCCAGCTCCTTGATGAACTTCTCCTGGTGCAGCTTCAACCACCTATGATCCAGATCCCTCTCCACGTGTATCCTGAGGTAGTACTTTACCTTCCCAAGGTTTTTGCACTTGAAGTTCTCCATCAGCTGCTGCTGCTGCTAAAGAGAAGAATGTCGTCCACGTAAACCAAAAACAGGACCAGCTTCTCCCCCTCCCTTTTTGAAAAATAGGCTTTCATGACAGCTGCTGGTCCTGAATCCCATCTCCTCCAAAACAGCAGCCAATTTCTGGTACCAGCAGCATGGCGCCTGCTTCAAGCCATAGATAGACCTTTTCAGCTTGAACACCCTGCCAGTACCATCCTCATACCCAGGCGGCTGCGTCATGTACATCCTCCTCTAAAATCCCATTGAGGAATGCCGTTGATATATCCATCTGAATGATGAATTTCCGACTAACGGTTGCATATGCCAACAAGACCCGAAGGGTGGGGGTTTAGCTGTGGGAGCAAAAATCTCATTCAAGTCCCGCTTCTCCTTCTGCATAAACCACTTAGGCACCAGCCCACTCTTGTAGATGGTGACAAGTCCCTTGTCGTCGGTCTTGATCCTTGGCACCTACTTGTACTGTACAGCCTTCTTCCCATCGGGTAGCACCACCACCAGAGTTTGGAGTTGAACCAGCGTCACCACGTTATGCACCTGCTGCGGGAGGTTGAGTGCGGTCCGAAGGCATGGACCGTATTGAAGGAGCTGCACGCCCCGACCTCCGTTGTTGCAACGTTGATGCTGGAGAGGGAACTGTCCGCGTTGCGCCTGAGCGAGGGAGAGCCGGTGCAACCTGTCCTGGACAAGATGCGCGACCTCTACGCTAAGTTGGCGACCGCGGGTATCACCTACCCGGAGGAGACCAAAGCTTGAAGATGCTCTCGTTGCTGCCTGAATCATGGCTTCAATTCACGAGCAGATTGAGCCTGCCGCAGAACCAGAGCTCGTGGACACTCGAGTGGGTGCGGACAAAGATTCTGGAGGAGGACTTCCGTCGCCGCCAACTGAGGGGTGGAGACGACGGCAGCAGCGGCTACGGGATGCAAGGGAGCCGACGTGGCAAAGGACGTGGCTTCGGTGGTGCTGGATGCGGTGCAAAGAAGGACGACGACACCAACGACCAACAAGGAGGTACCGGTTGGGGTCGTCATGCGAAATCTGGACGTGGGGGCAAGTCGGGTGCTGGTGGCAAAGTGAAAGGGAGCTTTGCTGGTATTGTGAGAAGGGAGGGCATCCCCGGTTTTTGTGCTATAAGAAACCCGATGGATGGGCCCCCCAGAATCGTCACCAGGATGGCGGCGCGCGGAGGAACCAGAAAAACGGCGCGAGCATGGTCGCCGATAAGTCCGACAACAACCTGAAGAGCAACGGCGGTGCGGAAAAGAATAAGGAGCGCACCGCAGGCCAGTTCTTCTATATTGGAGAGCAGAAGGAGCAAGGAGACGCCTCTGCCAAGGTTGGAGCAAAGCTGTACCCTCTGGACTATTGGGTATTGGACACGGGCGCTGCTTGGACAATGACGCCGCGCAAGGACCTGCTGGACCACGTACGAGCTGCACCGTTCAACGAGGTGTGCTCTGCCTCTAGACACGCGCTAAACGTGGCTGGTGCGGGACGAGCTGCGTTTAAGGGAGCGGATGGCAAACCGGTGGGGCTGCACAACGTTCTCCTCGTTCCTGAACTCAACGCCAACCTCATCTCACTCCGTAAGCTTGCCAAGGCTGGGGTGAGCACTAGCACGGATGGGGCACGCACTTACCAGGGGCAGCTGGGCAATCGGGTGCTTTGGGATTTGCACGAGAGCAAGGACGTGTGCAGATCTACGTGGCAGCTGCCGGCATTGGCATGGCACGGTGCGGGGCAGGCTGGAGAAGGGTCTGCATCCCAGGGAGGGTGCAACACCATTGGGCAATGGCACACCGACGCTTGGGGCGTATGGCAATGCCCTTGTTGAAGCAGTTGGAGAAAGATGGAGCCGTTAAGGGTCTGAAGCTGAACGGACAGCCATCTGATGAGAATTAGGAAATCTGTTTGCTCTCAAAGTTTACCCGTTTTCCTTTCCATAGTGTGGCTGGCAGGAGCAAGAAGCCGTTGGAGCTGATCCACATGGACTTGGTGGGGCTGCTGCCGGTTCTGGGGCAAAAGGGGGAGCGACCCTTTCTGACCATAGTGGATGATTGGAGCAGGCTTATGTGGGCATATCCGCTGAAGCAGAAGGACCATGCCGCCTCTACGATACGGGAAGATTGGCTTCCATTCATGGAGAAGCAAGCGGAGTGTGTGGTGAAGCGGATTAGGACAGATCGGGTTGGTGAGTTCCTTGGAGCTGAGATGACGGCCTGGCTCAAGAAGCAGGGCATCCAGAGGGAGCTGACCACGGCTTACACCCCACAGTCTAACGGTGTAGCAGAACGGGCGAACCGGACAATTCTGGAGACAGCTAGGGCGCTGCTCATAGAATCTGGGCTGGGCAACTCCATGTGGCCCCATGCTGTTCGGCACGCTACCGTCGCTAGGAACAGGGTACTCACAAAGGTTGGGGATGACTCGTGGGTGCCGTTGGAGAGGTGGCTTGGGAGGAAGCCGCCAGTGGACATGCTGAGTGTATTCGGTTGCATGGCAGTCGCCCACGTCCCCAAGATCTACCGCAGTAAGTTGGTGTGTGCATTTGGGGCTGGCTGCTGCGAGCAAGGGATGGCTGCTGAGAGCAAGGGATGGCTGCTGTGGGAACTGTTGGAGTAAGGGCCTAATAAACTCAAGCTATTAAGACTTCATCAAACGTAAAACCTCTCATCGGGGTCACCTCCAAAGGTCCTTGGGTGCCTGGTACAAGACCAGCCCCTATCCTCAGGTCCGAGTTTGTAGAGAGAGGGATCAAGAGAGACTTAGTCAAAACAGCAAGAGTACCTTGAACGTCACGCAGCGTATCGTGCAGACCGTTGATCGGATTAAGCTGAGAATTTCCTACATCGAGCTCGCTCCAAGAGCATTAAAATAAACCAAGTTGCCTCGCGAAAAGTTCTGCCATTACGAATTTATGGCTCGGATAACGTTTGCCTAGTGTTGGAGTGCTAGCGTACTAACGATGACTCGGGTAGCATTCCGCCGTCGCACCGCATAGAAAGGAAATTCCAGGCAAGGAGGAATTCGCTTGAATCAAATTGACTATATCCAGGTACAAACAGAGAAGGAATAAATAATTATAGCTAGCAAGGACCTTGGGAATGAACCTGGGAATTACCAGGGATGATCCCAATAATTCCAAGCAACAGAACCAGCCTGGCTGGACAAAACAGCAGGTGGTAGGTTGGTAAACAACCTCTGGTTCTGTTTTTCCAACCTGGGAAAACAACAACCAGGTTCAGGTCCTAAAAACAGAACATGTTTCGTCTTTGCCCAACCAGCCAAAAGCTGGTTCCGCTGGTTTCCCCTGGCCCTGTAGCATGCAGATACAGACAAACAACATCTAACCTTCACCTAAATTGTACCCCTATAGTGCCTGCCCTGCTATACTATAGTTAACCAAACAAAACAGTACAATTTCGAGTTGGATAGAACTGAATCTGCACAATCAATTCAACGGAACCGCAAAGCTTCCATCTTGGGTTCCTTTGCGAGCTCGTTCTTTCTGCTTGTACTGTTCATAGCGCGTACAATGTTGTGCCGAAGCGCACAATGCGCGAGTACCTGCAAATGCTTCAAGCAAAAATTGCAAAAGCAAACAAACACACGAACATTCCATTCACACCCAAATGCATTCGCACATGCATACTCATACAAACAGTCGAAAGGATGTCGTGCAATGTGAATTTGGGGCTGGCTGCTGAAAGCAAGAGATGGCTGCTGGCAGTCGCCCACGTCCCCAAGACCTACCGCAGTAAGTTGGGGGCAAGTGCAATCTGGTGTAAACATTTGGCGCTGGCTGCTGAGAGCAAGGGATGGCTGCTGTAGGAACTGTTGGTGTAAGGGCCTAAGAAACTCAAGCTATTAAGACTTTATAAGTGGACATGCTGAGGGTATTCGGTTGCATGGCAGTCGCCCACGTCCCCAAGACCTACCGCAGTAAGTTGGGGGCAGGTGCAATCTGGTGTGTGCATTTGGGGCTGGCTGCTGAGAGCAAGGGATGGCTGCTGTGGGAACCATCCAAGGGTGTGTTGTTTGACAGCAGGGATGTGCAGTTTGTTGAGGGCATGATGTATGGGAGCTGGGAGAAACAGCCGGAGGCCAAGGTGTCCCAGCAGATGGAGCAGATCACCGTGCAGCTGGACCTGACTCCTAGTCTGTGGGAAGAGGGAGAGCAGGTAGCTGCAGAAGGTGGTGATGTAGAGAAGGTACAGGAGGCATCTGCTGGTGGAGAAAATGATGTGGAGACTAGCACTAGTGGAGCTGCTGGATTCGAGGGAGGAGAGCAGCAGCAGGGGAAAACTAAGAAGCCGAAGGGTGTTGTTATGAAGGGATGGGAGACACCCGTCTCCAGGCCAGGTTGTACCCGTATGGCTAGTAAGAAGTTGACTTCAGGAGCTGATGTAGCAGAGCAGCAGCTTGGGATAGATGAGGCATTCCTGATTCTACCTCATGGTTATGACCCGGATGAGGAGGATGAACCTGCCTACTGTTTTTTTGCCCCTGCACCAGAGGAACCAGCTAGCATGGAGGAGGCATTAGCTGGACCAGATAGGGAGAAGTGGCTGGTTTCTAGGGATGCTGACTACCAGAGCCTACTAGAGAATGGGACATGGGATCTGGTGGTGCTGCCCGATGAGAACAAAGCTGTACAGTGCAAGTCGGTGCTAAGGATCAAGACCGATGACAAGGGACGAGTCACCACCTACAAGAGTAGGCTGGTGGCTAAGGGGTTTATGCAGAAAGAGAAGCGGGACTTCAATGAGATTTTTGCTCCCACTGCCAAACCCCCTACCCTTCATGTCTTGTTGGCAGATGCAACCGTTAGTGGGAAATTTATCATTCAGATGGATATATCAACGGCATTCCTCAAGAGGATATGTACATGACGCAGCCCCCTGGGTATGAGGATTGTACAGGCAGGGTGTGCAAGCTGAAAAATTCGATCTACGGCTCGAAACAGGCGCCAAGCTGCTGGTACTAGAAGTTGGCAGCTGTTTTAGAGGAGATGGGATTCAGGACCAGCAGCTCTGATGAGAGCCTCTTTCTGAAGGGAGAAGGGGAGAAGCTGGTGCTGTTTCTGGTCTATGTGGACGACATTCTTCTCTTTAGCAGCAGCTTAAAGGAGATCCAGAATGTGCAGCAGCAGCTGATGGAGAACTTCAAGTGCAAGAACCTTGGGGAGGTAAAATACTACCTCGGGATGCACGTAGAGAGAGATCTGGATCACTTGTGGTTGAAGCTGCACCAGGAGAAGTTCATCAAGGAGCTGGGGGAGAAATATGGGATTGAGAATGAGCGCAAAGTTGCAACTCCCCTGCCAGCAGAATTCAAGCTTGTGAAAGCTGCAGAGGTTTAAGGGGTTGAAGCCGAGGAGCAGCAGCAATTTCAGTCCTTGGTGGGCAGCCTCTTGTATGCAGCAGTTCATACAAGGCTGACACCTCTTTCTCGGTTGGGCAGCTGGCTAGGGTGGTGCAGAATCCATCAGAGGAGCAGGTGGATGCAGCTGAGCATGTGGTGAAATATCTGAACTCTCACCCAAGCATTGGAGTTCAATACTCCGCATCTGCACAGGTGAAGCAGAAAGGGGTTGAGGTGCTGAAAGAGAAAAGGGAGCGGCTTGGAGAAGGCAAGCTGTTTCTCAGTTGCTTTACTGATGCTACGTGGGCCTTTGAGAAGGAGGATTCCTCATCTGTGGGAGGATACATCAGTGTAGTTGGGGGAGGACCTGTTTGTTGGAGGTCAAAGAAGCAGACGGAGACGGCACTTTCTTCCGTGGAATCAGAGTACATGGCGATGTTCCATGGGGTGAAGGAGGTGATTTGGCTGCGGAGGCTGTTAGAGGAGATTGGCCAGGAGCAGAAGGTTGCTACGCCGCTGTTTTGTGATAGCAAGGGGGCTCTTTGGATGGCCAGGAACGCTGTGCTTCATGGGCTGAACAAGCATGTGCGTATCAAGTGGCACTGGCTGCGTACGGATGTGAAGAGGGGGACGGTGAATCCAATCTATATCAAGACTCACCAGTAGCCAGCAGACTTCCTCATTGAAGTCCCGCTTCTCCTTCTGCATAAACCCCTTAGCTACCAACCTACTCTTGTAGATGGTGACCTGCCCCTTGTCGTCAGTCTTGATCCTTAGCACCCACTTGCATTGTACCGCTTTCTTTCCCTCAGGCAGCACCACTAGTTCCCAAGTCCCATTCTCCAGCAGGCTCTGGTACTCAGCATCCCTAGAAGCCAGCCATTTGTCCCTATCTGGTCCAGCTAATGCCTCCTCCATGCTAGCTGGTTCCTCTGGTGCAGGGGCAAGAAAACAGTACGCAGGCTTATCCTCCTCATCCGGGTCATAGCCATGCGGTAGAATCAGCAATGCCTCTTCTGTCCCAAGCTGGTGCTCCGCTACATCAGCTCCTGCAGTCAGCTTCTTAGTAGCCATACGGGTACGTCCTGGTCTGGAGACGGGTGTTTCCCATCCCTTCATAACAACACCCTTCGGCTTCTTAGTTTTCCCCTGCTGCTGCTCTCCTCCCTCGGATCCAGCAGCTCCACTAGTGCTACCGCTAGTCTCCACACCATTGTTTTCACCGGCAGGTGCCTGCTGCACCTTCTCTCCAGCACCACCTTTTGCAGCTGCCTCCTTCCCCTCCTCCCACACACTAGGAGTCAGGTCCAGCTGCATGATAATCTGCTCCATCTGCTGGGACACCCTGACCTCCGGCTGTTTCTCCCAGCTCCCATACATCATGCCCTCAACAAACTTCACATCCCTGCTGTCAAACAACACACCCTTGGAAGGCTCCTACAGCAGCCATCCCTTGCTCTCAGCAGCCAGCCCCAAATGCACACACCAGATTGCACTCGCCCCCAACTTACTGCGGTAGGTCTTGGGGACGTGGGCGACTGCCATGCAACCGAACACCCTCAGCATGTCCACCGGCGGCTTCCTCCCAAGCCACCTTTCCAACGGCACCCACGAGTCATCCCCAACCTTTGTGAGTACCCTGTTCCTAGCGACGGTAGCGTGCCGAACAGCATGGGGCCACATGGAGTTGCCC